ACACACACACACTCACACACACACACACACACACACACACACACACACACACATACATACATTCATTCCATTATTCAAAAGCAGAATGAAGATGTTTGCCAATGCATAAAGAAACATATAGCCAACAGTGACTGTACTGTAAAATGCATGTTTATTTTCAGGACTGTACCTTCGATTCCCACTCCATCCCAGCCAATGATATGAGAAGCAGCACAGTGACTGTGATAGATCCTATAATTCGGACGTCATTGACTGAATCCACAATTTGTGAGTCATATTCCTGTTGCAAACATGTATCATATTACAATCGGCATAACATGCACACGTAACAATGTCATGCAACAGAAGTGCTGTGTTCATCTGAGTCGTTCTTACAATGAGAAGATCTCTGACAGTCTCTGCAAATCCCACCGTGTTGAGCGCGCAAGCGAGAGCATTGGCGAAAGAAAACACCACGCCGATGGGACCCCCCAACTCAGGACCCAGAGTACGGGAGATCATGAAGTACGCACCGCCTGACGGGTGGAGGAGAGAAATGAGAGAGAAATGTAAAGAAATATGATGCTGCTGGTTGCTTAATGGCCAAAGGAGGCTACTGTGATATTCTGGGCCTAGTTGTTCAAAAGTAATTTGGGATTTCGGTGATCGGATAGGATCAGATCTTAAAAACGGGTTGGTTTCTTGATTTTGATCCTGACCAAATCCAGATCGTTCTGATCCACATTAAACATTTTTAAAAACTTCACTCTGGTCTCTAGATAAGAATCAGGTCCTTGTTTCAATCAGAATCTATTGACGTTTTTGCCCAGTTGCTTAGACCTCGCCAGCACACTTCTCTCCAATAAGTCACATCATTTTATGTCCATAGCAGAAACGAAGGATGAGTTACGCAGCAAAGCATCACTGATTATCACAATCTGATCAGCTTGATGTCACGCTCTTGTCGAGTGACTCACCAGAAGAGACTCTTCCATTGGTGGAAATGGCAGATACAGACAGAGCGGTTATGGAGGTCACAAGGACTGACATCAGTATGATTAACCATGTAAGAACTAAAGCAGAGGAAATAAAAAAAGGAAAAGGACAGAGTGTCTGTACAGAGCTCCAGCTGACAGAGTAGACAAAACACATCAAAGATAAGTGGCCATCAGATATTACACACAGTTCTGGTAAGTCTTGACATAGACATTTCTTGAGCAACATTATGTTTACCAAAGAAAATAGCCTGTGGTTTCATTGTAGGAAGTCATTGCACAGACAGTTTATCTTTTTTCCCCAACTAGATTGGCCAGGTGAAAAAGTAACCACTTTATGGAACTGTTTTATATATTAATAAAAATGCAGGCTTACGGATTCCTGCTTGAGATGTGATCCAGGACAATCGCAGGAACAGAATGACTCCCCAGATATTCAACATACAGCGAATCTGGAACACAGAAACAGAGCATGTATGCACGTGTGCATTTGACCTTTTGCACGCATGCATATGTACCTTTCACGGTTTCTCACCATAACCCCGGTGATCCATCCAAAGCGTACGGGCTGGGCGGTCTTTCCTCCTGGCCCGTTTTCCTCGGACTCGATTTCACTCTCCTGTAGTGCTGAAACGCTTCCCCTACCAGAGTCTCCCATGTTACTGCCGGATTCTGCATCCTAAACCAATACATACATGCATATTTACAATTGAAATGCATACAGAGTCATTCGAAAGTACATTACAACAGAGTAGCGTGATCTTGTGGTACTGGAGACTAGTTTCAGGACCGCAATTTGGAATTTAGGTGTTTTTTTTCCCCCTCATACTTTATAGTATTTTATAGCATTTACTTTACAATTAAATTGGGCGATTAGAATTATTTAAAATTGAATTGATGTATTCTCCTAACCAGCCCCTAACCCTAAATATAACTGCTGCTAACTCTCAGGAATTGTTTTAATTAAATATGTTTTATTAGTATTTTGGTTAAAAATTAAATTTTCCTGGAAGAAATACCCCATTTGTCAAAGCAGAAGTAGGCATAACTTGTATTCGGTTCAAATATGCCAAATAGTCTTTATTCTGTTCCAAAATACAAATAACAAAAAAATAACAAAGCGCGGTAAACCATTTACACGGTAAATGGTTTGCGCCAAACTAATGTGTTTATTAATGCAATAATAATCTTGAGCAATATGTTAAAAAATACCAGTTTGCAACATCAAGCAGCATAATTAATGGCTTTTGCACAGCTAAATAACTGGAAAAGGCAAACACCAGAAGACCGGACCCGCCCTTACGTAAAAAAAAAAAAAAAATAGTAATAATTATAATAATAATAATAATAAAAGTTAAAAATTGAATATTTTTCAGTGTGTCTTTAATTTGCGCCTGTTTGTTTTAGTTTTGAGTCAGGTCTCCTCGGATGGAGTAGAATTGGATGGCGCTGTTACATGCGGTCCTAAATCTGCGGCCTCCGGTTCTTCAGGGCTACTATACTTTTTTACAGCATATGACCCACATCAACAGTCTTGCGCAGCGTCTCCAACGATGGCCTGCAGCGCCGGATGCGGCCCGTGGCGGTGGCGTTGGCATAAAACTCGAGATGCGGCATGGCATCCATGGTGCTGTATATGGAAGGTCGTCTATTGTCCTGCCTTGAGTTCACAACTTCTGACGGCCTTTGTGTCGGAGTTTCCATGCTGACAGCCATCTCACTGCCGGTGCTGTAAGAGGAGTAATGCGGCGGAGCCTCTTCACTGACCGAAAAGCGACCTGGGGACAAGTTCTCTGTGCCCTCCAGCTTGCGTTTGGAGAAGCGGTGACCCATTTGAACACCCGGAAGTTCAGAACACCAGCTTTTCCTGAAAAGTAAAAGATAATGCATTTAAGCAATAGC